AGATGCCGTCGAATTTTGTAAAAATTTAGTTTTAAAAACCCATAAATTTTTTTATTGCAACTGACTACAAAATATAAAATATTAACGAATTTTATAACAGAAATTAGGAAGCAAATAAGCAAATAAAATCTTTAAAATTGTTATTTTAAATGACAATTTGATAAAAATAAAAAAAATAAAAAATACATTTAAAGAAATTTTGATCACACTCTATTGATAATCGTAATAAAACTCAATCACGGTAATTTCACCCCCATTTTACGGTAAAAATCTCTCAACTCGCTCATAGCATTTTGATGTTGAGCTCTTTCTGAATTCATCTGAATATTTAAATTTTCTATCGTACCTTTTAATTCGTTGATTGTTGCGCCGTGTACTTTTCCCACATCATTTATTATAGTATTCATTTGTTCAGTTATTGTGATAGTTATACTATCTTCTTTCACTAAATGTTGACAAGATAAATTATTCAGAGTTTCTTCAAATTCTTGTTGTAGTCTTTTTTCTCTTTCGCGCGCTGCTTCTTCAACATTTATGGCTCTTTCTTGTGATTGTATTAGCAGCACGCTAATTTCATCCATTTCTTTTTGAATTCTTTCTTTGTCAGTCAGGTAGATACTAATTCTCTCATTTATTTCATCAAGATTTCTTGGACGATAAATTTCACTGCAATTAAACTTTAAATGAGCTCTTAATATGTCGCGACATTCTTTTCTTGACCTTAAATCGGGATCTTCCTCCTCATTCATGTTGTTAACATGAATAAGTTTTTTACAAGAAAGAATTATATCGGCTACTTCTTCATTTTCAGCAATCATTTTCTCTCTATCACTTTTACATTTTTCGGCTCTACGAAAACTTGGGAAATTAGTTCGGATAATTGTTGTATATTTACTAATATCATCGGCAAAGAAAATTGTTTGAATTATGTTATAGGCTTTCGCTTCTTCTTCAGTGAACTTTCCGCTAGTAACAAAAAATATCTGATTTAAGCCATTTTTAATAGCGTTGATTGCATCTGCCAACATAAATAAGACTTCATTTTCATTAAATTTAGTATCGCCAATTCCGATTGTGTCTATTATATGAAATTCAATGCTTTCTTCTCTCACCCAAGATTTCATCTCTTGGACACATTTAGTTCCACTAACTCCATACTCACTTTCGGCAAATTGATTAGTATTACTTATTACATTCGCGATTGTGGATTTTCCGTTTCCAGTTCTTCCTAACAATAGAATTGTGCGTTTTTCAGTCATATTATATCTATTTTAATTAATGTGTTATTTTAATGTTTTTTATTTTTTTTGTTATCTTGTCTCTCTATAGCCTAGATCCTAGTACTTCAGACTAAATATCTGTTCGTGTGATTTTATCATAATAGTTTTTCCCTGTTTGCATGATAAAAATCCTAGATTGATTATTGTATGAATTTATTTTTAAATCCAATTAGAACTTATGGTTCAATCATTTTTATATAAAATAAAAGGCAACTACCTCATTAAAGACAAATTTGCTATTCTCAATAACGGATGTATTAAATTCGATACAGTTTAGTTTGGTCTCGGCGTATTATCTATATGCAGGTTGAAAATTCAAGATTTTTTTTTTTTTTGCACTTTATTGAAATTTATAATTTAGGAAATATTTATATTCCTATAAACAAATTTTTTTATACATAGGAATATTTTTTAAGAACGCTACTTTTAAGAAATAGTTCTTATGCGATTTCTAAAATCAGCTTTTCCAACACTTGAAGTAATTAAGTCGCTTCAAGTACAGTAAATTCATTTTATTACATATATAAACAGTACATATCGTATTTTAAAAAAAAGATTTCATGTGAATGGATTTGATTTACTGGATTCAGATACGTCGCAGCATAAAAAAAATGCATATCAATAACTTTATGTTTATCTTAGCCGATTGTTATTTCTGTTCCATAATTAAAAAGACGTATTAGTATATATCAAATATACTCAGTTGCTCTCAATATTTCATACGTAGAGAAACATGACACCTGCCTAAATTTACCCACTAACGTATGCAAGAAATTTAATTTAGACTGATTCGGGTTAAAGGCCAAGCGGACGTCAACTCCGTCCCCGACATATATGTTTTTAGATATCCGTTAAAAAATTTTAAATAGGAAAATATCGCATGTTGATCCCTTATTCGTTTATCATTATCATGATCTATTGT